TTTTAATTAAGTTATTGTTAATTGTTATTGGTTTATTGTATGTGGCTATTGTTCGGGACGAACAATACTAAGGAGGGGGCAGTGTTGTTTCAGCGAGGTCGCGTGACTAGTGTCACGCCACCTATTTTCTAGAAATATCTTGTTCCTTCGTGAATGCCCTAGCATTTACTAGATATATGTTAGTCTGGTATATATATATAGGACGCTCACAACATGACACAACAATGTGTATAGGTAGTGAGTAATTGATCTGCAGTCAGAGAGTATTGTTGAAGTTCGTTATAGCGTTTGTTTTAGCGCGAATGTTGAAATTAAGTGTATCGTAAAGTTATATTCAGAAAGAATAAACCAGTTTTATTAAATAAGGACTTGTATCGCTAAAGTTTCGTCGGAACGAAGTTACGGAAAGTTAATTAACGACTGGAGGCGTAACAGTATAAAAAAGAAATAAGTGTATTTTTCCATATTTTGTAGAATGCATTACTTAGGTCGATGAAAACAGAAAGCTGGATCTAGTAGGATACTTGTGGAAGTTATCGATTATGTTTTGTGTAAAGTAGCAAATTTGGTTCTCACAGTTGTCCCTTGTCCTGTATGCTGCTTGGTGGTTAGATAGTTTTTGAACCTTGTAGAGGTAGTGACATAGCCTATTTTAAATAATTTGTCCATAATTTTGAACACAATTGAAGTGAGGAACATGGTTTATAGCTTGAGGGTTCGTTTATTGGTTTGCTAGGTTTATGAATTGGAACAATACATGCCAATTTCCAGTCTCTAGGCAGTTTGCCCCCCAGTGGAAAAGCAGTATGTCTATCGACTTACAACGCTATAAATCAGGTTTCGATACCTGTGGTGGGCAGAGCACAGATAGCCCATTGTGTAGCTTTGTGCTTAATTTCAAACAAACAACTTAAACCTTTTCCAACTGTTATTCATAAGAACAACTTGCCTTTCTTTTGCAGGTTCAATAAAATTTTTACATGTATGCTATAGGAGTAGTAAATGATAAAATGTCTCCAGGTTATCAATGATTTTGTTATAGCTTGGAATCCAGTTTTTTCTGATTCCTCAAGGCACATTTTGTTTAGCAGCTTTAAATATTGAGTTTTCCAGTTGTTCCAATAATTTTCAATGTCTTCTTCATCATTAGTCATTTTTTAAAAATACATCCACTTGAGTTTTGAATAGTTGGCTTTATTGAAGTTCCGATCGTACCTTTTTGCCTGTTGATTGGAGTTTTTAAAGTTGGACCTTAAAGTGATGAAGATAGAGAGATGATCACTTCCAATATCTTGTAATGTGTTCCACTTGACTTTCTTCTCAGGTCAAAAGTATTGTTACGTCTCTGTTCGTTTGATAATTTCCCGTAAAAATGATTTCCGAAGAACTTCAGCGATACAAGTCCTTTCTTAAATAAAATTAGTTTATTCTTTCTCGATACAGTTTTGCAATACACGGAATTTCCACAGTCACTTTAACTTAAATACACGCTATAATTTACAACGATTCACGTACTTTACTTAAGGTCACTACCGATCACTTGACTCAATTATCTGTCTCTATATCTCTCTTCAATCTGCTATTACATATATGCCGTCACTCTTCGTCTCCGCTTTATTTGCCGGGCTTATATACAAAAATAGAGGGCGTCTGGTAAACACTAGAGTTGCCAGGAAAGGTCATGATCCTTCTAGAAACTAATGACGTGTTACCAGCGTCACGTGACTTCCGCTGTCGTAACACTGCCCCTTCCTTAGTATTGTTCGTCCCGAACAATAGCCACTTACATTAACCTAATATATAATTAACAATAACTTGATTAAATGTACAAAATTTACAAACACAAAATTGAAATACCACAAAGTCTCTTAATTTTACAGGACGTATCTTCTTCCTTACTGGTCTCCGTCTCGTTGGCTTCTGCTTCACGTGGGGTTCATCTGCTCCATCAGGGAAATGTCCTATTATCAGTAACAGTCACATCAGTAGTAGTAACTTCATTAAGGGCTTCACTGTTTCCCTTCTCAAACCGAGTAGAGTTTCTTCTTCGACAGTGGCTTTTTCAGGTGACACGTCTCCAGCAGCGTCATTTGTTCCGTTGTTCACTTCGTTCCAACTGAAATGTCCTGGACCGTGATAACGCCAAAGCCTGTTAGCATGCACCACCTTTGGCTTACCTCGCCGACCACATCTTATTCGGAAAGTCACGTCTGAGAGACGATCCACTATGTCATATGGGCCTTCCAACTTAGGAGACTTCCCTTTGGTCTTCCTGGGATTATATAACCACACCTTGTCTCCTGGTACAAAGCCGACTTCAGTAGATCTCTTACCATAACATAGCTCCATGGTATCAGCAGACGTTTTCAAGTTTGAACACACTTGATGGTGAATATCATTCATCCTTTCAGATAACACTTTCACGAACTCTGACACATTTTCTGGCAACTCTTCGTAAGGTGGGTGTCATGTTATCAGATTCACTGGCAACCTAAGTTCCCAACCAAACATCAACTTTGCTGGAGTGTATCCAGTGGCTTCATGCTCTGCTGTTTTATAGGCCATCAACAGTGGAGGGAGTAAGACATCCCAGTCATCTTGATGGCGATTACAAAACTTTGCCAATTCCTGTCCCAGTGTCTAGTTGTACTTTTCTACCATCCCATCAGACTGTGGGTGAAGTGGTCTTTCATATGCCAAACAACTTGCAGCATTCATAGAATACAGCT